GGTTCAGCAGCTGCTGCAGCAGCAGCAGCAGCAGCAGCAACTGCAGCAGCAGCAGCACAAACGGCCAGTGAGGCGTTTGTTGCAGCAGCGCAGATGTTGACTAACTGTTTATTACTTAGGGGTTTTTTGAAAATGCAAGACACCCTCCTCATCCACAGGGCCGCTGCTCCTGCTGCTGCTGCTGTTGCTGCTGCTGCTGCTGCTGCTGCTGCTGTTGCTGCTGCTGCTGGTGACGGGTAGCACGGGCGGGTGCTGTCTTTGTGGCTGCGCCTGTGGGTGTTGATGCATGCAGCAATATTGTGTTTGTTTTTCTGTTGTTTTTATTCAAAGACGTTGTTCATTTCTTACTTCCTCATATTCGTCTGTCTCTCCTATGCCTGTGGTAGCAGCAGCAATATGTATATATATATATATATATATGTTTATATATATATATGTTTATATAACGTTCAGGTGTATATACAGCAGAAGATATGCAGCAATTCTTTCTTACGGTGCATGCATTCATCATTTGTTGTTTGTTTGATTGTTTATTATTATGTTTATTGGTCTATTTGTTAAATATATTATTTGTTAATTAGTTTATCAGTTTATTAGTTTATTATTTTATTAGTTTACTAGTATATTAGATAATTTGCTTATTAGATAATTTGCTTATTAAATAATTTGTTGATTATATAATTTGTTGATTATATAATTTGTTGAACGTTTTGTTTGTTTTTTGTTTGTTTTTTTGTTTGTTTGTTTGTTTGCGATTTATTTATTTGTTTTGTTTAATACGGAGTGTAATTGAAGGAAGTCTTTTAATTTGTTGTTTTAAGATTTAAAAATTAATTGTTTATTACTTTATTTACTTTCTGTATGGATGCCTTTAAAGGTTTAATTATTTATTTGTTTGTTTGTTTATTTGTTTATTCATTTAATTATTTAATCATTTAGTTAATTGTTTAATTTTTAAATGTTTTTGTTTGATTATTTTAGTTGCTTATTCCTTTATTTCTTTATTTATTTTATTATTAAATTATTTACTTATTTATTTATTTGTTTAATTAATTAATTATATATTTATTTGTTTATTTTATTTATTTATTTAATTATTTTATTTAACACTCACAGGCCCACTGCACTGCACACTCCGCAATTTTTTTTTGTTTTTCTGCTGGCGTCATCAAACCAAACGAAACGCTTCGAGGACCTGCGAAATAAAATAAATAAAATAAATTAGGTGAAGCATTTACTAGTGCTAGTAATACCCTACTGCAGCAGCAGCAGCAACAGTAGCAGCAACAGCAGCAAAGCAGACAGCGACAGCAGCAACACCAACAGTAGCAGCAGCAACACCAACAGTAGCAGCAGCAGCAACAGCAGCAGCATCAGCAATAGCAGCAGCAGCATCAGCATCATTATCACCAGCAGCAGCATCAGCAGCATCAGCAGCATCAGCAGCAAAATCAGCAGCAAACTCAGCAGCATCAGCAGCAGCATCAGCATCAGCCTCAGCAGCAGCATCAGCAACAGCAGCAGCAGCATCAGCATCATCAGCAGCAGCAGCATCAGCAGCATCAGCATCAGCAGCAGCATCAGCAGCAGATAATGCTGAGGTTTACAGGGCCCTGTGTAGGTGCTGGGGGCGAGGCAGTGCTGCCCTTCGGCTTCGTCTGCCCAGCCGATTGGACAGACGAAGCCGAAGTCAAATCGGCATCCGCTTCTGTCTTCAGGTTTTCAAAAGGATTTATTAAAAGTGTTATTATATTTCTAATATTATTATATTATTAATATTAATATTAATATACATTACTATACTTAATATATTGAATACATTTAATTTATTTAAATATATTAACAATATATATATAATATATATAAACAAATGCTGATTTTTTACTGAAAACAAACAAAAGAACGAAGGCATAAAAATTAAAACCGCAAATAAATGCAATGCAAATCAATATTTATATATTTATATATATAATAATATTTATATATGTATATATATATAAATAAATAAATATAAATATATATATATATGTATATCAGCAATTCGACCTTAATGTGTTATTAAATGTACATGCATACATATATACGCAGATGCATGCACATACATGTATTAATATTTATATGAATATGTATATTATTTACGTGCTGCTATTAATATATTTAAATTTGTTTTATCTTACCGGCGAACGGGAAGTAGAGGTTGCATGCAGATGCGATAATTTCTTTTTCTTCGAGCGTTTTATCTTTTAAAAAAATGTTAGAGCTGCATTTGTCTGTTGCGGTGTATGTGGGCGGCCCTCTGCAGCTTCCGTCTTCCTGCAGCACCCAACTCAAAGGGCACGGGCTGCTGAAGTCGCGCAGCTTCTCCCTGCTGCTGCTGCTGCTGCTGCTGCTGCTGCTGCAGGTCCAAGATACGTTGCAGCGTTTCTCTAACGCGCGTTTAAGGCTGCTGCTGCCTTTATATTCTTTTAGATTTAATTCTTTTTCACAAGGGCCTTTGTATGTAGGTGGAGCTGTGCATACACCCGAGTTGTGTTGCTTCTGAACCCAACCTGTTGGGCAGTCGCTGCTGAAATCTTTTATACAAATCTTCTTCTTACACGGCCACCGCAAGCCGCACATTCCCTCTAAACGCGCCTTCGCTATGCTGTCGCCTGCTGCTACTGCTGCAGCGAGAGGGCCTGCACACTCCCGAGCAGCAGCAGCAGCAGCAGCCGCAGTGGTGCTGCTAGCAGAGGCTGGGGCTGCTGCTGAGCAAGTTTTATCTGCTTCAAGAACAAAGCCAATAGGACATGGTTGAGTATAATCTACGCCGTTAGGACAGTGCTCCTGCATGCACGGGAATGCTGCTTTGCAAGCAAAGCCCCAAACAGCCTTCGCAGCAGCACTTAGAATATGCAGCTCCGGCTGCTGCTGCGCACAGGGGCCCTTATAAGAGGCGGTGGCTATACAGTTGGAGCCTTCTTCTATGAAACCTTCAGGACACTGCACAGAGTAGTCACGCATGCAATCTCCTGCTGCTGTTGCTGCTGCTGCTGCTCCTTCTGCTGCTCCTCCTGCTGCTGGTAAGGGCTGCAGTCGGGAAATACGAATTATTAGCATCGTAGCACCAGACGAGAATAAACAGATGCAGCAGCTGCAGCAGCAGCTGCTGCTGCTGCTTGTATAGCAGCTGCTGCACGCGTGTTGATCTGTTATTGACTCACTGGGGCCATTGCCTGAAGCAGATGTTAAATAAATTAATTTAATATTAATTTATGTTATATAAATGCTATTGTTTATTATATATGTACATATATATATATATATATATATATTTATTTATTTATTTATTTATTTTATATATGTATATGTAGAGTATACGTACTATAAAATAAATAGGCATTATATAAGTAAGCATAAGTAAATATACATACAGGTACATTCATATATTGTACATATAATGCATATTAAATATAGACGCATTATTACCTTGGTTATTTCTTTGATGTCCTGCTCGGCGATGGGTTTATTTTCTGTTTTCTGTTGGCGTCGTTGAAATTGCATTTATTTTTTTTGTGTTTGTTTGATATTAGAAATTTACCTGCTGAAGACTGCGGAGAACATTATCTCTAAATGCTGCAGATTCAGAAGAAGCTGTTGCTGTTGGTTCTGTTTGTTGCGCTCCTGCTTCCTTTTCTGCATGTTTGAGAGGTTGTAATGCATGCATTGGAGTTATTTTCTTGTTGGTTTTGTTTTATCAAGAGATGAAAGATTAAATAAATAGTTATTTACCATATTTATACCAGAAATTGATCATCGCGAATACTCGAGAAGCTTCTTCCATTATTTTCGTAAGGAAATTTCCTTTAGATCTTGCTTTTTCTTCTTTTTCTTTCTCGGGCTGTTCAACAGCTGGCGGTCCTCCGAGCGTTTCTTCTATTTCTTTTTCTGTTTCTTCCATTGCGCTTGAAAGGTCTTTCTTTAATGTTTCTTTTTCAGGTGCTGTCGCTGCAATTCGTTCATAAGGACGAACGCGACGTGCACGCAGAGGCTCCCGCGGGGGTTCTGGCGGGGGAAAAGTGAAAGGCGAAATATAATTTTTTTGTTTTGCATTCTCTCGAATGGCTGCAGCGCCGTTGCAGGCGAAAAGAAGCCGCCAAAAAGTCTTTCTTTTCATTGCTATTCCGCCCTGAATATTCTCATTTCTCCCTTTCTTTCCCTACATTCAACCTTTTGAATGGAGCGTGCAACTTTCGGGTGTATAGGCAGGTACACCATGATCGTGAACTCACCTGCGTTTCAGCTGCAGTATTCAACGGGAATTCATCTTTTAAAAAGGCGAAAGCGTGGCAAGTCTGTGGCTAAAGGCCAAATAAACAACGGAAAAGATGCTCTGCAGCAGTTGCAGGGTTTTCAAAATGATTATGTTTAGGGTTTGCTGAAACCCTAAACCCTCAAAGTGAAACGCAGAAGGCGTGAAGTCACGAAATTCGCGGATTCCTTTTATCGCTTTTCTTTCGTTTTAAATTGATTAATTATTAAATTGTATTTCAATAGACTCATGAAAGCAACGGAAAAGCATTAAGACAGCCTCTACTATTGTCTGCTTTTCTGTATGTCTCTACCCGCACCCACACACCCTAACGACTTGAACGGATGCATTTCAGCAGCACATTCTGTTTAGAACTCAAGCCATTCCAGAAGGAGGAAATGTTCTTTTAAAGGCCGTTTGCATTATTCTTCTTTGTTTCTGCTGCATCTACTCGACTTGTTGTGGTGAAAGCCAAGCCTAAGAAGAGGAGAAGACGGCTGAAGAAATCAATTTCATATTTGCTTCTTTTTCACTGATTTACCCCAGCAGTGGAGGCTGACGGAGGGGCCTCAGGAGCAGCGAACACCAGAAAGAACAATAAAGGACTGAAGAAAAACAACAGAAAATTGGAAGTATGCACGAAATCAAAATCAAGTGTGAAGAAATGTTTATAAGTGATATTCAGCATTACACAAGTGCCTGAAATATGAAACAAGCAATATATAGATATGCATGCACATATATATGTATACATATATATATAATATTTATGCACAATATATATATATATATATATATATATATAT